CTTCTTTTTTTAATATAAATCATAACTTTGAAAGAAAAAAAACTATTGTTATATAGTGGGGGAAAAACTATTGCCATATAGTGGTAATTAAGATACTTTATTTGTATACTTAAGTTTTTACCCCTATCATATATTCTCTCTTCTTAAACAGACCCACATACACTGTTTGCTTATTTTTTTTATTTCCCTTTTTACGTTTTGTAGTCATTTACTGGGATCATATTGATGTATTCCTTTTATATAAAGATTTGATGGTACCAATAAAGTTGGTGCAGTTATCAAGTTATAGTTTCAAGAAATATTGAAAATCATTTTTTCACACGTTCCATTATTTTTTTTGTTTCTTTTTTTTACTTTTTGTAGTCATTTTTTGGGATCATATTGATGTATTCCTTTTATATAAAGATTTTTATGGTACCAATAAAGTTGGTACAGTTATCAATAATTGAGTTATAGTTTCAAGAAATATTAGAAATTCTTTTTTCAGCGGTATATCGAGTTAATCCTTCAATTTTCTTCATCTATATCTCTTAAACCTTACATCTTCTTCACTTAATCGCTTTTCATTCCAATTAATCAAAAGTCTCACCATAATTTGATGGAGAAGACGTTGCGTAAAAGCCTTAGGCTTAACAAATATGTGGTTGTCGTTGATAGCACGCCCATAATATGTTCAAGACCATCTTTTGACTTGCATGAAGCGTGAAAACATCCCTCAACAAGTTGATGATTTTGTGTAAGTATATTGTGTTTTTATTGTAATTGTTTAGTACCATATAATGTTCTAATCCTGACATATGTTATTATTCTTTTGTAGAGATTGTAGTTTGTATACTTGTTCTTTTGATGAATATGTTTGTCGAGGAGATATGAACATATCAATGTCAGTTTTTGATTCTGAAAATCTTCGTTTGCGATATTGAGCATTGTTGTGGGATTATGGAAAGAGGAAAATCGACATTGGTGCTATTAGTGAAAATGAAGATTCTGGGAAAGATGATCAGTTAATCCGGAAGGGGAAGAAGGATTAATTTTTTTCATTTTAAAATAATTTCATGAATAATTTTGCTCGAATAGTTTCTTTTAATTCTGGATAATACTCTATGTGTTTAGTTTTTTTTGGGTGTTTTTGAATACCATTGTTGAATGTTCTGTTCATTTCGGAGTTTAATCACTATTTTTTTTTCATTATTTTTTGTGAATATATTGTGTTAACTTAATGATGTGTGTTTGGTTTGTAATAGAACACTGTGTGAGTTTGGTATATAATCCAAACGCTTGAATTTCAACGTATGTTGTTGGTACATAATACCAACATTTTAGTCACTATATATAACTAATAATATGACAGATTTATGTTGTATTACTCCAACAGCATACCAATATTTCATACGTTTGAACTATGTGTTAATATGGATTCAAATTTAAATATTTTATGTTTAGCAGTGGTTTATTATGCAATGTTTAAGTGATTTTTACCAATGTATGTTACCACAAGTTTGTACCTAAAGTATTTTTATCTATTTTTGTGCCTACTTTGTATACCAATTCTGTAACAGATGTTTTTGTATTAAATGTTTCAGGTTGGTATGTAATATCAAAATATAAGCATGTATACCCTCAATTTGAACATTATTTGTGCTTATTTCACCACAAGTGATTTTACCAATGTTTGGTTAGCCAATATAACAAACAATATTGTTGGGTAACATTTTTTTTTGTATTACCAAAAAATTTTAAGTTGGTATTTCATAACAACATTTCAACCAAACACGACAATAAATTTTTAACTGATATTTTTGTATTATTTTTGGTTTCAACTACTCTACGTGGTTGTTGTTTATTTTCAAGTTTTAAGTTGGTATTTAACAAATGCATTTCAACCAAGCACGACAATACCAACTACATGTAAATTAAATCACAATTAATGTGAATAAACTACTGAAGAATAACCAAAGTTGTAATAAACTGCATTTATCATTGTTAAGTTTGATAAGCAAACTTAGGGCAATTCCAGAAGTTTTGGAAGAAGAAAGAAAAACCAACCAAGAAAATTGCAAAATAATACTTCATTGTTAAGTTTGATAAGCAAACTTAGGGCAAGTCTTTTTGTTATGTCCTGATGTACCACATTTACTACAAGTTACTTTACTCCTCTTGTATTTTCCTTCGTTGAATCTCTTCTTACGATCATTACTTGGTGGTCTGCCGGGTTGTTTTCTTGTAATTGGTGGCAGCAATTCCTCTTCCAAAATATGTGATAGAATATTCCAAGTGCCTTTGCAAGGCAATAGTTCTATTGGAATTGCATAAATATCTTGAAAATTCTTATTACTATAATATGTTGAACAATAATCTTCACGATGTTTGTTTCTGTATCTGTATCTGATAGCTGCAATTGCATGACTACAAGCTCAATATGTTGAAATCGTCTTCAACTGCACATCATATATCACCCCTTCAATATCGTAATCAACGTATATATACCTTTTTCACACCAAAATATTAGGGATTATTTGTTGTGAACCTCGTCAAACAGAATGGTCAGTTCAACGTTTTCAAATTTTATATTATGTTTTAAAGCTTGTTTTTGCTGACAAGATAATTTTTAACTTAAATATGGTGTTTACATGTACCAGCATATGATCACTATGTTCACCATTATCATGTACAACAATAAACCAACGTTGAATGACACCAAAAAAAATTAGCAGTTCACCAAATAAATTAAAACGATTAATTTCACCAAATAAATTACCAAACCAGATAATCATTAAATATTCACCAAAACTAAAGAATTAATTTTAAAAAAAGTTAAAAATTCGGAATGGGTGAATATCAACAACCTATATTACACCATTAATTAAAGAACTCATGATAGACAAAATTTATTTTTAAAAAAGTTATTTTTAATGTAAATACGATGTTTAAACCATTATTATGTACCAAAATTTAATCTATACGTTCACCATAATCATGAACAATAAAACTTATACTGAATGACACAAAAAAAAATAGTAGTATACTGAACATGCGCAGTCCATAATTTTGATAATTAAAAAAGATTACTTTCACCAAATCAATTACCAAAAAAGACAATCACTAAATATTATTTCTCTTCGGAATCTCAAAACCATAGAATAAACCAGAAAAATTAATAAAAAAAGATAAAATCCAAATAACGAAATTGGTGAATAACAACAACAATGATCATATTTTTCAATTACACAATTAAAAAAAACACCAATTATATAATGAAAGTATAAATAACACATGATGCGTCCTCTATGTTGAATTAGGATTGGATAATTGTTGGTATCCATGATTGAACAGTCCATCATCATGAATGGAAAGAGGGTTTTATATTTGTTAAGAAACATTTTATTGGTAAGAGAGAATATTATAACCACTTTGAGTAAATCATGGATTTGAAAAAAAACATGGGGAATACCATAAATAGTGGAGCACAAATTCACGTTTTTTTTTTTTATTATTTTTAATATAAAACATAACTTTGAAAAAAAAAACTATTGTTATATAGGTGGAAAAAAAACTATTGTCATATAGTGGTAATTAAGATACTTTATTTGTATCATTAGCTTTTTTATTATTATTATTTCGCCAACTCAAGTCTTTTATTAACATACGATATTATTTTGCCAACTCACAGGTGTAAGCGCTATAGTATACTTAAGTTTTTATATTATTCAGTAATTTATTTTACAACCACATTAAATGTGAAAATATTTATTTATTTATAAAGTTGGACATAAACAAGGTGATCATGTGGCATCTCTTTGTGAAAATTCACATTTATTTTTTTAATTTTTTTTTCATTATTTTCATTTTTTTTACTCGAAATTATTTTTAAAAAATTCAAAATTCATTATTAATGGAGAAAGAATGGGTTAGTGGAGATTTCAAAAGTCATTATCATATCCTACTTTCAAATTGGGGTTGTAATTTGTGTGAGATTTTGATTTCCTTTGGTGTATCGTGTCGACATTTGCTGAAAGAGGTTTGAGGTTAACATATGCTTATTTCACTATTATTTTTCTTTTCCTCCATATTTCTCTTAACCTTTATTTAATCTATGATTTTTATGCATTTTAGCATGTTATATTTATGTCGTTAAATTGTATTTTCTTGATATAAATAATTACTTCTTTTATCTCAATCTATATGAAGAAATTGAGGATAATTTTGGTGTAGAGTCTTCAATTTTTTAAACTAAACTTTATATATTTTAAAACTACAAAGTTCTAGGAGACGACATAAAGCTAATGATTTAAAATATTTAAAAAAAGAGTTTGAATAAATTGTAGTCAAGAAAAATTATTTGTCTTTTCAAATATTAATTCTTCAGGTAGAATAAGAAAATAAGATAGGGGAGTATTTCAGAACAATGAGTTGATTAATGTTTATACCTCTATTACATTTACTTTATCTAGGTTTGAATTTTTTTCTTTGTATATTTTGTTTTTCTTCCGTTAAACCTATGATTTTTATTTGGAAGAAAATTATTTTTTATGACCATGGCCATTATATATATAATCAAAACCAAGTTTAAATCATTTACCAAGCACTCAGCTACACCAAAAGAAAATGGAAAATTAAAAAATGCAGTGTCCAAACGTGATTTTCTTGGCCAAAACTCACTTTACCCTGTAAAAGCTCAACCTGAATCACCCCAACAAGTACCAAACCACTATATGAACTTGCGGGAAGTCTCAAATCGGGGAACGAAACTCAAATGCTCAAAATGATAGTTTGGAGGCTCACCCTTGCATTCTGGATAATTTTATTTTAATTCAAAATCCAACAATAATAACACTATAGAACAACAACGACTCATTATACTGAGGTCAAAAAGCTTTTTGATCGATTTCTCTTTTTTTTGTCCCATTTACCGAGGTAAAGGTAAATTGTAAATCAGCCCAAGGTGCTGCGATTCAAATTTCTTTTCCAATTGCTTCATTTGGCTGGCACATACCTGATAATTACTCTAAACTACAAGATAAATAAATCAGTAAAAGAATCGAGGGAGAATGCAGAATGCTGCCTCATATCCAATTAGTTCACGCATTAAGTAAACAAGTCAGACATAATTGAAAGACTAAACTAATTTAACCTTGGTAAAGTACAGCTCAGTTCATGTACAGCCACTCCTTTTTCATTTCCAAAACCTCTGCATCAACACCTTGGAATATGCATTTGTTAGGATGTGAAAATAGCAGCTGCATTTGTCTTCATTGCCGATGAACAGCAGAAACCTTCTCAGCAATCAACTTGATCTGATTCATTCGTTTATCCACCAGTTTCTGCAGCTGCTCCTCCACAATACTTTGATTGGCAGCCGTCTCTATGCTACTAGATTCACCATTCTGCGATTTGAACATCACAAATGACATCTGCTGATCATATTCAGTTGGTACATCAATCACCTGCTTCCCCGCACCCTCTGAATCTTTCCCTACAACTTCAGCCTTTACTCGGTGTGAAACAATTGCCTGGTATATCTCCATATATTTGTTAATTGGGGCCAACCCAAGATAGATAAGAATCTCCCAACATTGCTCAAACTGCTTCTTGTTGATTTTCAAAGTTTTCCTCACATCTTCGACAGCACTCAGTGGTGGAGCATACTTGCACATGTAGCTTTTTTTCAAAGAATTTTCCTGCTTTAAATGTGATACAACTGATTCTAGGGATTGCTGGATTGGGTCAAATACAAGCAAACGCTCAACATCAATGCACAATCGAACATATTGAAGAGAATCCTCAGGCTCTTCAATAGTCAGGTCATACACATTTTCAGATACTGCAACCCTGTTCAGCACCTCAAGAAGAAAACGACCATAACCTTTACGTTGGTAAGGAGGCATAACCAGTATCTGCCAAAATCCAAATCAGTTACAACGAAGAACTACATTAAAAAATGTGTGTTGTAATAATGAACTGTCAATCATTTACCTGCCCAAGTCGCATGCGTGTACTTCCAGGATAACGATGGAAACGATAAACAGCTGCAAAACCAAGCAACCTTGAAAGGCGATCCTCCTGGGTATCTTTCCTTTCCTGGACTAGGAGATAAATTTCCCATCTAGGATCAAGGACGTCAATAGGATTGCTACCTGGTTAAAAATACCACTAACTTTTGAAGCTACCCATAGATATAATCTTTTAAAAATAAAATACAACAATTACCATCCACTAAGAGTAGTACAAGTGGCACCAATCTACTATAAAGGTGTCCTACAGGCGTGCCAGCGATCCGGAATACCTGGAGCAATTCCAACAAGGATAATCAATCCTCAGTTTTTTTCACAAAATACACAATGGTATAATGCATTTCAATACAACATACTCAGATTCTGCATGCAAAAGAAAGTGATCATTCAAATGTTTGAGAGAGCGCAGATGAGACACAAACATCAGGAGCATAAATCTTATTTTGAAAATACGACAATTTTCCAATCAAGTAGGAGTAGCTTTTTATACCATTTTTTTTTAATCCAAATAGTAGACAGAAGTTCACCAAAATAAATGCTTCAGAAAGATGTTAGTCCGTGTAGGTCTACAAGATATCTTGCACCATATTCCAAACTAACATTGGATTGGCAGCTGTAGCGTAGCTGCTTTAGTACTAGTTCGTTCCATGCTCTTAGGGGTTTGGTGTGATGGATAAGAGGACTTAATCTTTGAGTGCGCTTTAATCTATTGTTTGGTTGCAAAGGCTGGGATAACTTATACTAGGATTAAAAATTAGTACTGGACAAGTTATCCCTCTCTGGGGGTGGAATAGTAATCCCAGGAACTTATCTTGGATAAAGTATGTAAAATAACAAAATGCCCTCCTTAAACTCTCTTTTATAAACCACTTTTACATTCATGTATATTAACATAATTTTTAATAACATTTATAATAGCATTCACAACCTTAATTATTCATTGTTTTTATGATAATATATTTTTCTATTAAAAAGTTGCATTTTATAAATATAATTTTTATTTATCAATATATTATAAGATGGAATTTATTTGCCTAATTCTTATGTTTATTATATTTTGATTTCTCTTAAAATGTTCACTCAACTACTAAATTATATATTTTTAATTAAATAGTTTATTACTCACTTAAAAATTATATTTTATATATCAATTAAAAAGTAGATAACTTTAAAATGTAGATAATTGAAATAATAAAATTTCTTTTACTTTAATAAACTTAAAATGGAAGTTTTATTTTTAAGCTAAATAAGATGGAAGTTCTATTTTTAAACTAAATAAGATGAAAGTTCTAGAAATAATATGGAAATTTTATTTTTAAGCTAAATAAGATGGAAGTTTTATTTTGAAGTTAAATAAGATGAAAGTTTAATTTAAAAACACACAACACAATCATGGAAATGCACACACAAATATTTAAGCTAAATAAGATGGAAATTTTATTTTTAAGAATGAATAACAAAAGTTTGCAAAGAAAATGTAAAAAAAATAAAAAATAAGGTGGAGGGTATTTTTGTAAACAAACAACTTATTCTTAGAAATTATGCAATGAATATAAGTTTGAATATGACAAACCAAACAAGCAATAAAAATTACTCACAGCTCCAACGTAACTTATCCCAACATAACTTATCACAACATAACTAATCCCAACATAACTTGTATTCAAACCAAACGACCCCTTAATGATATCTAAAAAGAGCAACACAAGCAAGATATTATGCCAAACAAGCACTACAGGACCCAAAAAAAGATGAATCTTCTGTCATCCCTATCCTAATATGTCAAGAAAAGGGATAAAGAAGGCACCTCTACATCTGAAGGCTCTGATTTCAAAAGACAATTAGATTCAGTGCTACAGCCATTTGAAACTTTATGCTGCAGTGTTTCAGCATTTGAGACAACAGACCTGTGTGTGAGCACAACTTATCATCTAAATATATGCTAGAAATTGGTAGGACAAAACATCAGTCCTCATGGATGGTAAGAAAACTCAACATGAAAAAATAGGTACAAGAAAGTTATGGACAAACCGAACATAATGACTTTCAGTTGAAAATGTTTGCAGGAAGGCATCTTTTTCATCAACAAGACTCTCAGCAAAAATATTCTGCTAGAAACATCACAATTAAAACCTGTCTTGTTAAAGATAAACTAAAGAGAAAATCCATATAGTCATTACCTGAAGGGCAGACTTTACGTTTGTGATTCCTCTGCCACCCTATCCAAAAACAATTCATATTTAAGTTAGAACAAACAAGTCGAGCAAATGCCAAGATTTAAAAACCCTTTGGAGAAAAATGAATTTTGGCTATTATTCAAGCTGCAAAAATCCACTTATAATCAGATACATTCAGAAAATCTGAAATAACTCACAAAGAGATTCAACAATTAAAGATAGAATAAGTTTGAATGACAGGAGCAGAAGCAATAGAAGAGTGAAAGAACACATAATGATTAAATAAACACCAAAGTTTTATTCAGCATCAAGAGAATTCACTCATTTATACTTTAAAAAAATGAATGGTAGGAGCAAAAGCAACAAGAAAAAAAGAATACTTACATCTGATGAGCTTTCAAAAGAAATATCAGCATAGGCATGAAAGGATATCAAGTTAACCCATATAGTGATCTGCAAAATGTAAGACATGAAAAGATCAGATAAACTAAAAGAACATTCAATACAAGTAAAAGCATTATCAAACCCAAGTAGCATGACACATTCTTTCATTTTTCTCTTGTTCCCTATGGAGATGGACAGGGGCAGCATTATCTGAGTGCTTGTGCTGGGGTGACTCCAAGTTTATGACATTTATTCAAGATCACTACTGGGCTATCCAATATATATTTTTGGTAGACTAAAATGTACCCTTATTGAATCAGACCTTTGAAGAGAAACCGAACAGAATACTCTAGCAAGAAGCCAGGTGCAATGGGCTAACCCATAACTTCATAAGCACCAACTAGAGATGACAATGCAGCCTAGAACTTGAAGTTCCTGAATTCATCCGAACTCCAGAACATGTAGGAGGGCTCATGTTAGCAAGATGATAGCACTTTGAAAGCACTAAATGGAACTTCAATACTCACCCATCCCACACACATAGCCACCCTTGCAAGAAATCTCAGAATCTCACAAACCTTCACCCCACATCCTAAATTTATTTCCTCTCCTAACAAATATTACATTCCACACCTTCTCTCTTTCCAGACAAAGACTACAATCCTCCCTCTTAAACCATGTATGCTCCCCATTAACCTCATTGAACAATATTCTGAGCCATTAAAAGACGTATAAGAGAGAGAATATAGAAGGGTAGGTCAGGATATTCGTGGCACAGAAGTAGATACTAAATAGCAGGTTTTAGGTACTACCAAGTCAAATACCAACACCACTTGGCACATGTCCAACACAAATGCAGTCACATCATATGTTTTTCTGTTGAAAAACTTGGGCACTCATGTCAAAGGAGCACTCAAGTCACTGTGCATGACAATTTTCTCCACTATTTTCTTGATCTGAGAATTCTTCTTTTAGGTATATATAAAAGAAGTACTAAAGAGTAAATGAAACCAATTAGAACAACTCTGCTACAAATAGCACTTCTCAGAAGGAGGCCTACCTTCAGACCCTGATACCCAAATATTCTGCCATCGTCTTCAAAAAATTGATTCAAGTCAATTGGTTCAAGACAGAAACTGTTTGGGGAGTCAACATCCTCTGCGCTAGAAACTAAGAACAAGAAAAACATACGTGTTATGGGACCAGTAGTGAAGAAAATCAGGTTCCCAAGGGCAAACACAGACAAAGACAAATCATTCCAAAAGAAACTACATTGTCAAACATCTCAACTTAAAACAATGTGTAGGTCCAAGTTAACCTAATGATGGCCAGAGAGAAACCATGCATTAGGACATACATTATTAATTAATTAAACAAGCCTATACGAAAAAAAAAAAAAAAAAGAGACATCCAGTTAATTAAAGAAGACACTCTATGTTCAGCTAGAAATCCATGCCTGCAAAACCAGTACCCCCTCTTTCTTCCACATGCTTATTGGTGGCGTAAGGCAGAATCAAAGCTTAAGTAAATGAGCAGCTAGACAAGGCATAGCACCGCTATCCGGTGTAATAACAGTGTAATTCCCAATATAATGTTAGGTTGCACAAGTGTAATTGCATGCGGTTAGATAGTTTTTTTATTTAAATTAAAAGTCAACAATTAAAATTAACAAACTTCTATTTAGTTGAAGAAGTAAATAAACTTTAATTTGACAAATATATGTGTATATAAAAACATACTAGTTTTTGAAAAGACATTTCACAACTGTAAATTGGTAAGTAATATCATAGAAAGTAATGGCATATTCCAATTCATGTAAAAGAAAAAAATGAAAATCATAATCTATTTCATTTTTTTAAATAGGAAAAGAACACCTCCGAGTTTGCAAGGTATTTTTCTATAACAAATATGTATACTAATGAATGGAGAAAAAAGTGTTTCAGGTTCCGACCAATTTTACCTTCTCTTACACTACTACAAAGAGGAGGCCTTAGTATAGGGACTCATAAAGTGAAACTAAAACGAGGGGATACTAACTTCAATACAGTTGAGTTTAGAGAAAAAAGCTAAATTCAAACCTATGTATATAGTAATGCAGTCGTTAGCTTCAATTCCAGCATCTGCAGAAGAAGAAAAACATAAGTGAATGATGAGAGGAACAGTGGGTAACTCCATTAAAAATGAATCACTGACCGGTCTTAGAGAATCCCACGCGACGGCGCTTTTTGGGATCGCTGATTGAATCGGAGGAGGACTGATGCTTCGTCCCCATTTGTGCTCGTTAGGGTTTTGCTCCGAGCGGGAAATGTTCTGAGGCGGGAAAGACGGGACCTGTGCATAAATATATAACATGTCCGCCCTTTACTTATCGCCTTAATTCCTCAAATTTACCTCTCACACACTTTTTATCTTAATAAATATATTACTTCTTTTGCAATTTTTTTTAAGTTTGTTAGAGATGTTTGGTTGAGAACAAGTTATTTCAGGATTAGTTATCCTGAGGTTAACTATCTTTGGATAACTTATCTCACCATGTATATGGGATAATTTATCTCATCACCATGAAATAAATGGTGGGATAAGTTATCTCAAACATAGCAATCAAACAAGATACAAAAACCTTATTCCATCACTATTTTTTTATTCCATCACTAACATTGAACTACCAGCACAAGAAGTGTCACGCCCCGAGCTACCCCCAAAACGCTGACACGGGACCTAGGACCACAAGTGATCCCAAGCTAACCATGTTGGCATGATCATGAGCATACTAAAGATAATAAACTGATGCGGAAGCTAATTCATAAATAAATCTGAAAAGATGGGGAATACCCATATACTATAACTGAATATATCAAATCTGAGAGTTTAATACAAAAGAAATATCAAACTCAAAATACTAAGCTGAATCTAACTATGTCTGAAATACGCCTCTAAACTGACTAGAAATGTTGGGACATGCCCTAACTAGGTCTAGCAAAACTAAAACTAACGACTAAAAGCGATAAAGATAAACATGTCACTAGTCCTCGAAGAATGAGGACTCACCACTGATGATGCTGAGCTGGAGATCGAGAATCGATCTAAGCGTGATCTGGATACTGAGAACTTGAACCTACATCACGAGAAGATGTAGCGCAGGTATGCGTCAGTACTTGAAAGGTACTGAGCATGCATGATAGAGTAAAGCTGAAATAACATATAACTGAACAAAGCAATAAAGCAATGAAATAATCTGAACATGATATAGATACTGAATGTTGAGCTAACTGAATGCAATGACCAATTTATAACATGCTGAGACTGAATACTGAAATATCTGACCTAGCATGTGTAATTCAAGAACTAAAGAAATACATAGCTAGGGTTCTGAAATTCATGCGATAAACTGAGCAATAACATAATAATCTGATTTGGAACATTTAAATAACTAACTCATGATGATTTGTTCAAATTCTAGAAACCCTAGGTTTGTTCATAATCATGGAATCAAGAATTTGACTAAATTCTAGGGACCTAATGGGCGAAAGGAACCCACTAGTGAAATCCCACATACCTGGTGACGAATTCCACGGAGAAATCCTTTGATTTCGGGGCTGGAACTGATGGAACCTTGATGCGTTCTTGAACTAGGGTTCTTGACCTTTTTCTCCTCTCTTGATTCAAATTTTCTAAGTTTTGATTAATGATTTTGACTAAGGTAAGTTCTAATTATGTTTCTAGGCTTAAACTGATTAAAACCTCATGATTTAGGGTCTAAACGACGTATCTTAGGGGTTAAATGAAATAGGAAAAGACCAAAAGACCCCTGAATTAACTGTTGTCGGAGTGACTGACGGAATGGACCTACGGTCCAATCAATCAACGGTCCGTCGATTGGGTCCGTAGGTCGAGTTTGCTCGACAGGGTTTCACTAAAACGGGCATAACTTTTTACTCGGAGGTCAGAATTTAGCAAACTCAGTGGTGTTGGAAAGATAATTCAATTATATATCTAACCATAAGTCATGGTACACATAATTCATTTTGTGATAAGAGTTATGACCATCTGAAGTTGACCCATCAATATTTTTTAGCTAACTGGCTGCTGACCCTCATCTACGGTCAGACCTACGGACCGTGGATTGAATGACAGTCCATGCTGGTCGACCGTAGTTTGTGTCAGAGGCTGGGTAAGCGAAGTCTCGATCCACGGACACAGACCACGGACCGTGGGTCTGTCCGTGAGTCGGGACTTAGCCAAATTTTCTGACTGAGTTCTGAGGAAGTTTTCTGTCACGAACCACGGACCTGCAAGACGGACCGTGAGTCCATCTATGGTCCGTGGATGGTGTCCGTGAGTGCCACATGTAACACCAGAAATCTGAAATCTCTATTTTCGGATACGGGTGTTACAAGCAGGGAAATTGTTAAAGATAGATAAGCAGGGTATTCCTAATATCAGAATTAGAAAATGCCAAAATGGAAACTTCAACAATCAATGAAGCATTGGAGAGTGTGTGAGAACAAATGACTAGTTCATACAAAAACATGCTTGAACATAATAGCTGCAACTCAGTTACTGGAAAATGTAAGTCGAATATTCGTTTTAAAGATCAAAATGAGGTTACCTGGTATACACTAGATTTGAGGCAGTGGTATCAGCTCTTCGGAGCTCAACCTGCACAATTGGGGGTTTATCAGTTACATCTCTCAAAATTGATCAAGCCAAAGGTGTGCTTCAGTCTTGGGGATTACCTTGATTGGATATGTCGGAAGAAGGATATGAGCTAAAGAAGTCTTCATAGGGTTGGATCCATGGCATTCGTGAGAATTTTTGAATGCCCAAGGGGATACCGCCCAAGATCATGACTTTTTTATCGCCCTTTCATCAAAGAATAACCATCGGAGAAGCTCGACGTCGGTCGAAGAGGAAGCGGATTAGCTGGGACTAACACTGAAGGAGAAGACTTTCCATTTCCACTTTACTTTGTCAATACAAAATGTGGTATTATGTATTTGGGCTTGGGTTACTATTAGACCCAAGCCATCAGATATTTTGTTCTTTTTTTAATAAATGGGCTTGTCCCACACTTTAAATTTTTTTTAAAAAGAAAAATATAGCCCTCACACCAAATGACCCCTTAATATTTTTGAATAGATCAAATAATATTTTATTTATCTAGAGTTTCTTAACTAGAGATATGGTGTTTTTGGTTATTCATTAGGTATTGCATAGGTTTGACTGTATAATCATATTTTTAGATAGTACTTTATTTTAAATTTCCAAAGAATCAAGTCCTTTTTAAAAAGTACCAAATTTGTCGTTAATTTTAACTAGTTGTTGTAGTGGTATTTTAGGTATCCAACATTTAATTTTTGCTTCACATATTTGTACCTTTTGCATACAAAATAAATTAGGATGATTTGATTCTAAAAATAACCCTTTTATCTTAAGATATTGTCAACATATTAAAATCAAGATGAAACTGAGAAAGTAATCGAACTAAATGTATGAACTAGAGAAAAAATTGAAAAATATCTTGGGTCTTTCATTACAAAAATGACTAACCATCTTTTTAGAGTACTGTACATACCCTTTTATACAAAATACACTAAGTTTCCAACAATACAAATCAGTCCCAAGTCAAATAGAAAGAAAAATACTATGAGAGTTGTCAACTTGGGCTCTATGTCAGTTGGCCCACGGGTTCATTCTTATTATGAGGTCCAACACCCCCTTCAAGTTGGAGTGGGAGAGAACACCCAACTTGGGAAGAATGGAGTGATGAATGAGCCCATAAAAGGCTCTTAGTGAAGATGTCGGCAAGTTGAGCAGTGGTGGAGACATGATGGAGAGAAACGAGTCCAGCAAGAAGCTTGTGACGGGTGAAATGACAATCCACCTCGATAGGTATAGTAGCGGGAGAGGGAAGAACAGTAGGTGGAGGTGAATGATCAGAATCATGAAAAAAAATGTAAGAACTAGGAGAAGAAACGGAGAGAGGAGGAGAATGAAGAGCAAAAGGGAAAATGGATTCATGAAAGATAACATTCCTAGAAACAAAAATAAGTTTGGTGATTAAGTTATAGATTGTGTACCCTTTCTTCCCTAAGAAATAACCAATAAATACACATAGATCCACCTTAGGTTGAAATTGTCTTGGTGAACTTTTGGAATACTAGTGAAACAAAGGCATCCAAAAGTCCTAATATGAGAGAAAGGATGAGAATGTCCATTTAAGAGTTCATAAAGAGATTTGTTGTGAAGTAATAAAGTGGAAGGAAATCTATTGATTAGGCAAGTGGTGGTGAGAACAAAATCACCCCAAAAATTTATCGGTGATTTGGATTGAAAAAGTAAGGCCCTAAAGGTTTCAAGGAGATGCCTATGCTTCCTTTCCACCACACCATTTTGTTGAGGTGTGTGAGGACATGAAGTTTGATGCAAGATCCCAAGATCAAGAAAATACTAACTGTTTGAAGTGTTGGAACCTAGTTCTAGAGCATTGTCACTCCTAATACACTTGCCAAAGACATCAAATTGTGTTGACCATGGCAAAAATGGATTTTAATAAGGGGAAGACATTGCTCTTAGACCCCATGACATGGGTCTAAGTGGCTCTATTTTAATCATGAACAAGTGTGAGAAAGCATTTGCACTGCTATAGGGACCCATGAATCAACATGGACAAGTTGAAAGGGAGAAACAGGTTTGATAGTACTAATGGGGAAAGAAAGTCTAGATTGTCTAGCCATGGGACAAATAGAACATCCAAAAGATTGTTTAGAAAAAAAATTACAAGGAATATAAGGGATATCCTTCATTTTGGAAAAGGGTATATGTCCCAAATGATTGTGCCATAAAACCTCAATTTTGTTAGATGTAGAATGATTTTTACAAGGAGTTGAAATTACATTATGTAATGGAGAAACATGAGAACAATCTGAATTAGCAAAAACAAATGCAGGAATAGAAATTGAGGATAGAGAATCACAAGCAAAACCAGAAGAAATACATGTAGAAATAGACACATCAGAAGTGCAACTTGTCTGGAGCTTGTAGAGTCCATCAACCAAACTACCAACTTCCACTGGCCTCTGCATTAAAGGGGCATGTAGGAGACAAGAATGTTCAGTAAATGTTACTATACAATCTAATTTAGAAATCAACTTGTAAATATAAATGAGATTATAGTGGAAGGAAGGCAAATAAAAAACATTATGCAAGGTGAAAGATAGGAAATTAAGGGAACTAGTACAAGTCACCTTAACCTTATAACCATTCGGCAAATTGACTAAATAAAAAATGAGTAAAGGTTTGATGTCAAAGAGAAGATTTTTGTTGTAAG